ATTCCTGTGGCACTGACGAGAGAGTAACACGAATATATATATATATATATATATATATATATATATAAAATCATCATGAGCTTTCTTGGGTTACTCCACTTCTTCAGATGCTCAAGCTCATCTGAAGAAGTGGGCTTTGCCCACGAAAGCTCACGATGCCATCTATGTGTTTTGTTAGTCTCTAAGGTGACACAGGACTACTCGTTGCTTTCTAAGTTACAGACTAACAAGGCGACCCCTCAGACTTTCGAACAGGCACGGGAGTGATATCTGTCCTTGCAAAATGCTCGTCTGCATCCAAAGTAGCTACTTTGAATTCCCGGTGGCAATAGTGACGCCTTCGTGCATTTCAAAGGGGCAGCTGCAGTGGAGCCCGGGGTCAGCTGGGGACTTCCCAACTGACCCCAGGCTACCTGCAGCATTTCCCCAGACCCCGGGGTCAGCTGGGGAGTCCCCAGCTGACCCTGGGCTCCTAGCAGCATGCAGCCCTTGTGCATATCATGGGGCCCTTGTGCATTTCAAAGCAGACACGCCGCATGCAGCCTGGAGTCAAGGGGACTTCCTGCTGGCCCTGAGCTGTGCACCCTGATCTGCATTCCTCCTTTGAAATGTACAAGAGCCCCAGCAGGGGCTCTTGTACATTTCAAAGGAGAAATGCAGAAGTGCCTATCAACTAACCGCACTGTAACATCCTTAATGCAGAGGTCTCCCAGGGAGTACATCAACTCATCCGGCTATCTGCCTACTTGTACAACAGGCTCCATAAAAAGCACTAGCAATGTCACTACCCATGAAAATTTCATACAGACAATAACTCTCGATACTATACCCTGAAATGTAAGTTTGATATTTCTATTCTGTTCCCATTGATGTATCTGGTAAAAATGAGAAAGCCAGCAATTTTTGTGCTATGGCACTTTTGTATTTTCATGTCTGATTTGGTAAGCAAATGGCTTTTAAGTGGAGTGAAACTTGGGGTGTGTAAGACAAACCAGACTCCCGAAAGAGGTATGATAGACTGGAAAGGTAGAGAACCACGAGGCTAGAGAACTGGGAGTCAGGAGAGCCTAGACACAGGTTGCAGCCTTGGGCAAGTCACTTCACTCCCGGCATCCATTTCCCCATCTGTAAAATGGGGATAATCACCTTAGCTCACAGGCTGCTGGGAGGTCTAATTCATATACAGAGCTTTGAAGAGGAGAAATGTTAAGCAGTATTGCCACCAAACCTCAGATTTTAGGTTTTAAACAATAAACATCCCCCCATTTAAAAAACATCAAATCAAATCAGTATTTACTCAGACTCCAGTAAAACGCTGGTCATGGCGAGTAGCACTTAAGGGCTCTTCTACAAAGAGCTGTAATGTTGAATGATGGGGGGCTGATTTCTAAAGCTTTAATTTGGGGGAAGTTCTAGGTCTTGTACTATACAGCGAGGTCAGTCAAAATAGCCACCGTGGTCCCTTCTGGGCTTGGGATCCAGAAATCCAGAGCAGTGGTGGGTAACCTGTGGTCCATGAGCCATCGGAAGCCCATCAGGGTTGTGTGTGCGGCCCATGAGACATTTTGCTTACCGCTACCCACGCTCAGGGTTGCCAGATTCCGCTGGTTTCCATTTTTTTCCCCTACCGGTATTACAAATGTGACACACACGTAGCGCAAGGCGCATGCTGATTGCGCACAACAGTGACAGTGAGAGCCATGCGCTCCCTCTGCAGCCAATCAAAGCTCGGCTCTGGTTCTGTCGGCCCGTTGCCCATCGCTGACCTAAAGTATGCCAACATGTTGCCCATTAATTGGCCATGCAGAGTGCATTAAAGATTCCTGGTGCGTTTCAACATGGCACTGCTTGGCACACTATGGAATAGGGATGTAAATACTCCTTACAAAGTTAACCAGTTAAAGGATATAATTTTAATTGTTTAACAGTGGTAGGCTGGTGCAGAGCAGCTTCGGTCCCGCATTGGGGTCTGCCCCAGGCACAGATCCGCACAACTGGGGTCCTGCCAGCCAGCCTGCTGTGGACAGGGGGGTTCCTCCTGCCCAGCTGGGGCTGCTGCAGGCGGGGTCTGCTCCCACTGGGCCAATTGTGAGCAGCGTTCTGCCAGGCTGTCGGCCATGAGTGGGGGGCTGTTCCCAGGCCTGACCCTCCAGTTAACAGGTAAGCCTGCAGGTAAGGCTAATCTTACCAGGTAACTGGTTAACCTTTTACATCCCTGCTATGGAATATTACCAAGAGATTACATATTACAGCATATACAAAGAGAAAGGCCCGAAAGACTTTAGTTTTTGGAGCATCTACATAAAAATAAAAAAATTGTTAAAAATAGACTAAAAAACCCAAAAGTATTATGACTGACCTCCCCAAAAAACCCAGGATACATTCAGCACTCAGCTCTCAGACTCAGCCCTGCACTGCACTGTTTCAGCACAAGTACAGTAAAACCTTTGTTATCCAGCACTTGGTTAATCAGAAAACTTTGTTACCTGGCATGGCTCCCATCCACAATACTGTCACATCTTCAGGCACACAGGCCTAGCTTGGTCGACCATGATTGGCTTAATTTTTTACTGAAGTAGTACTAATCACATTTCTATCTTGAGTTAAAGATGAGACCAACTGCCTCTCGCTACAAAACTACCAATATTAAAAACTTGAGTTTTACTATTATTGTCCATTGGTTTTTCCTAGGTTGATGGGACCCTCAGATAGCCGGAATTTTTAGATAACCGGAACACCCTAATCCCTGAGCGTGCCAGATAACATAGGTTTTACTGTAATTAAGAAATCTGTATTTATGTTACTCTAAATCTAGACATTTTGTGGCAAGCAAATAATTTGAACATTACATATACAGACCTCTCAGTGGTATCATTTGCAGCAATAAAACATATTGCATGCTGGCACCAAGGCCACCAGTGCAAAAGATGCTTGATATAGGTTTGAGGAAATTAACAGAATTCTCATCTAACTGAGGCTTCTCATTCTCCATGAGGTGCTACATCTACCTAAATCACCCACAACACACATACTTCAATCTAGTTTATCACAAAATAGACAGATGGGTGCGTGGCCATGGTTTATGCTAATCTTGACACACTTAACCATTTAGCCACCAGCTGAGAAATTTTAAACCTGGTACAGATAATCTGTTTGCACAATCTACCTAGCTTGCCATTTCCAGCCAAGCCAGTTTTTCAGGGTGCTGGTGAAGCAATACAGCAGTTTGTGCGTGAATTAACTCAGAGACCCACGTGCCCAAATGCAGCACCTGTCAATGAACAGCCATCATCAAATGGTGCAGAAGTCTAGTATAAATATGGCCCATTTAGATATTCCAAGTAACTAGAATCCTTCCATAACCTTAAAAAATACACATAGGCAATACAATTAGGCAATACAATTATACAGTCAATCACCCCCCTCCTTTGCAAAGTGCTTTGAGAAGTAGGGATGAAAGGCACGCTGTAAGAGCTAGATACAAGTACTAAACCCAAAGACAATCACATGCAAAAAAAACCCACACACAAATTAAACCCTACTCCAAAATGAATAGCAAGAGAAATATTTTGATTTAACAAGGATCTAGAAGCGGACTACTGGGTCAAACTCGGCTCAAATGGCACTGGAACCAAGAAGGAAAATGGCCCTATGTTTAGGGGTATGGAAGCTGGGGTAAACTTTCCATTTTGGAACCACTGGACTTCAAGACAGTGAGGGGGAAGGAAACCGTCTTGATTTCAGCAGAAGGGCAAGTTTCTGGCTGGTGATCTGGATGGCAGCGCCCCGAGATTTAGCAGGGCAGTGTGGGACACCGCTCTCACCCCACTGTGCCTTACTTAGCAAAGGAAAAAGCACCTTGTGACAGTGCTGGATGCACCTGAAGGCTGCTTCCTGGAAGCCAGGGAGCAGCTTAACCACACTTTCAGAAACGGTGCTAAAAAGAGTTTGCACGCAGCAAAACCACTTTCAGCACCGGCCCCCAACTGACACCTCTCCTCGCACAGACGACCGCAGTGATTGTAGCGCTCCATCACACAGGGCACCCGAGTGCCTCGCCCCCACCAATGGATGTTTTCCTCCCCAACCCTTGGATGCTAAGCCCAGGCCTCTCGCCCCTAGGCACAGACCTGCACTTGTCACATGCGGCACTGGGAGGCCATTTCTGGAGATCATTTCAGAAAGGGGGGGGGGGTTGTTCAGGAACCTGCCGGGTGGCAGTTACAACCCCCGGCCGTTACTTTTTCCTGTCAGCATCCTGACGAGGGCCTGGCTCAAACCTGACCGGGGGTTGGTCTCCCCCAGCAAAGCAGGCAAGGCAGAGCCGTGGCCAGGGTGCGGAAGGAGAAGACAGTGCAGGTGAGAGCTGGGAGCACGTGGGTCCAGCAGGGAGCCCCGGGAGGCGAGTAACAGAGTGAGGGGCAACCGCCAGCGAGCGAGCCAGACGGGGCAACACCACACGAGGGCAGCGAGCCAACCAGGGGCAGCTGGAGAGGGGGCATTTGTGGCCAGATACTCACGGACACAGAGGCAGGCCACCAGCTTGGCGCTTTGGTCGGGCACCGGGCAGCTGGGGAAGAGGGGCTTGAGCAGGTAGGTGGCGAAGACCAGGGCCACGATGTACTGGGAGGAGGGGCGGATGATGAGCAGCTCTATCCAGAGCTTGAGGAAGGCGGGCAGGGAGCCGTACACCTCCAGCATGTAGGCGTAGTCGCCGCCGGACTTGGTGATGGTGGTGCCCAGCTCGGCGTAGCACAGGGCGCCCACGATGGAGAAGAGCCCGCAGACGGAGGCTGCAATCAGAAACAGGTCTTCCTTCTGGCAATGAATCCATGTGGATTAAAAAAAAAGCCTGGATCATAAAAAAAGAGGGAGAAAAGTCTGATTTAGTCCAGATTTAGAAGCTTGTCATTTCCCAGATCAGTGATGGAAAAGAGGTAAATGAACCAGGTAGCTCAGTGAGCTACTGTGTTAATCTTTCTCCACTGGAAAGCTGAGTTCTGATCCTATTTTCGATCAGAGTTTTGTGCTGTTTTCCCAGTTCATACTTTGCTCACATCATGGAAATCATTGTGTACTATGCTATTGCAGAAACAAGCCGACACTCATTGCTCAGAAGGAGAGATAGGATGAGCTGTATAGGCAGAGCTGTGGGAAGCCCTTGAACAGTGTTTGCCTGAGGCAGACCTGGCTCTAATCAGTGCTATCATTCCTTCAGTGTCATGGAGAAACAGTCATTCATGGGATTTAAAACAGAAAAGAACCAGAAGGAGAAACTAGGTTGGAGATCAGCACAGCAGGGAATAGGCCCCTGTGAAGTGCATTTTCTTTGATTCACTAGAACTCCCTTGCTCACAATCCCACCACGAATTATTTCTGTTTCCTACCACTGAAATTATGGAATTGGCTTTGTTTAGCATGCTCCATTCACTTCTCAGTAACACAATTCTATTTACCTGTGGTACAGTTATATGGCCCCCACTATGCCAGGATCAGTTTTTAATGCAGTTGTTTTGACAAGACTTCTGTGATCTCCTGTGGCTAAGCTAGGTATAAGCCTTCCTCAAGTCAGAGCAAAAACAAAGGCTACATCTAGACTGGCATGATTTTCCACAAATGCCCGTTAAAAGCATTTTCAGAAAAGAGTGTCTAGATGGGCACAGATGCTTTCCCGCAAAAGCTCTTTTTGCGGAAAAGCGCCCGTGGCGAATCTAGACGCGCTTTTGCGCAAAAAAGCCCCGATGGCCATTTTCGCGATCTAGGGCTTTTTTACAGGAAACAAATCAGAGCTGTCTACTCTGGCCCTTTTGCGCAAAAGGGATTTTTGCCCAAACAGGAGCAGCATAGTATTTCCCCAAGAAGCACTGATTTCTTACAGTAAGAAGTCAGTGCTTTTGCGGAAATTCAAGCCACCAGTGTAGACAGTTGGCAAGTTTTTCCGGAAAAGCAGCTGATTTTCCGGAAAAACTGGCCGGTCTAGACTCAGCCGCCTAGGCTACATCGAGATTGACATGATTTTCCGTTAAAAGCATTTGCGGAAAAGAGCATCTAGATTGGCACTTTTTGTGGAAAAGCGTCCATGCCAATCTCGATGTGGTTTTGTGCAAGGAAGCCCCAATCACCATTTTCACCAAAGGGGCTTTTTTGCGCAAAACAGTTTTTAGGTGTCTACACTGGCCCTTTTGCACAAATGGGAACGTTAAAGCATTTGCGCAAGAAGCACTGATTTGGGAGAGTAGAACGTCAGTGCTTTTGCGCAAACTCAAGTGGCCCGTGTAAACAACTTTTGCAGAAAAACTTGCCAGTCTAGACGCAGCCTTAATGTATTCATGGGGCTGCAGCGGGGAAAGTAACCTGCAGTTCCTTACAGACGCTGTCCTATTACAACCCGGGTCCCGGCCAGCTTTTTAAATAGCGCCCTGATGGCTTTTGGGTGCACCCGCTGCCTTACAGCCCTGTGTGGATGTGAGCACCAGGCATGTGAACAGTAACAACTTGGAGCAAGAATAGCATTGAGAACCAGAAAATAAACCCCTCCTCCCCTCTGAAACACAAGGGACGCCTGGTTCTCCCACCCAACTGATTTTAAAAGTATCCGTCTTTGTCCAGGGGTAAAGTCAGGGACTAGAACACCAATCCCCCCTTCCCTACTAGTTTAAGGCAGTACTTCTAAATGGTTTCCCAAGCATTAATCCCACTACTCTTTAAGCATATAACTAACTTTACTCACTAGGCCCACTCTGGATCCAGCCCTACTATTGCATGAGAGCAACTCACAGCCTTTACCAGATTTGTCCTCACCACATCCCTGAGGCAGGGGCACTGCCGTAGACTTGAAGTTGTGGAGCTTGTAGCTAGCACTCTAACAAGAGCAGCTCTTTGAAGTTGTCACTTGGGTTTGGAACTCAGGCTGTGGAACAGAAAGAAAACCCAAAATCCAGCCTCAATATAAAAAGCAATCTACAAAGCAGGCTGTGTAGATGTACCCAGAGAAGATAAGCGACTTGCCCAAGGAGTCTGTGGCAGAGAAGTGCATTGAACTTTGGTCTGCCAGAACTTTGGTCTCACCATTGGAAGATCCCTTTGCTCATGAGTGTCCATTACACATAAACAACTTCTCCAGAAGAGAGCTTAACTCTTGTTTTTAAAATTTCCAACTTTTAACATCAAACTCTCCTAACACTTGCACAGGTGAGTAGCTCTGTTATTGGGACAACTCCCATGTCTCAGATTACTCATCCATACACGTCTGCAAGATCTCACCCTCAAATTGTAGTACGGTTTCTTTCCCCAGTTGTTTTCTACCAGCATTTCCCTCTCCTGGGAACAAGAAACAAAATATTGTACTGTATTGTCAGAATGTGCCATCTAGTGGTCTTGGAAATGTGACTGTTTTTAAAAGTTTAAATTGTTTATATAAGCATTTATCCACCTCTCTCATTATACACGTTTAGAAAAAATTAGATATTACCATTAGAGACCCATGTGGATACAAAATTTTGTATCCGCATCTGTATCCAAAAATATGAGCTACAGATATCCACATCTGCGGCTGGGGATACCCGCATGGATATAAAGCGGATATCCACAAATTTGCAGGATTTTATATACAAAATTTGTATCCACATCTGTGTCCTCAAAAATGATCCGTGGATATCCATACCCATGTCCACAGATGAGGATACACAAAGATAAAAAGCGAATATCCGTGGATTTGCGGGGCTTTCATTACCAATGCACCATTCAGACTTCTAGAATAATTTAATTTATATACACCCATCATAACTCGAGGCAAAATTACAGTAATCATGTGCAAACAGTTGAGACCCAACTTGTTGACTGTATACAAAACTATTACACCAAACTTTTTTTTTTTAAAAGGACAAAGATTTTCAAAGGTAACTTGATTTTTGGTTGCCTCTATTTTTGGATGAGCAATCTGCAATACTTTACAGAGAAAAGATGCTCAGCACTTTCTGAAAATCATTCCTTCAAGCTGGGTACTCAAAAAATGAGGCACTTGACACAGCTACTTTCGAAAATGGGAGTAAATGTTAAAGAAATCTGGGCCAACATTTCCGTAAATAAACAACACTTGAAAATCAAAACCACTTTTCACTATTTGTGTTGTTTACTTTACACTTCATCTTTAACAGTGAAATTAAACTCACTATTTCTGTATGCATCACTGTAATCATAACAGAAACATTTTTACTTTCTAGTACAGTACTCATACAGATGTAGGATGCTACAAAATTGGATTGCAAACTCTAGAGAAACATTTTTTTTAAAAATGGACTGTTCTGAACAACTGAGTGGAGATATTCATATTACAGGTAACATTAAGTCTGTAAAATGTTTGTTTCTAACAAAGCCTGAATTGACCTGAACTACTTTAAATGAACTGTAGCTCTTTCAAGCGCATTTAAAATTAGCCAACTTGTGTAGGCATTGGGAAAAATCGATCCGTTTCTTTTCTGAACACCAAGTTTTGAATGCAGAGTATTTCTTGTGTAAGTTTAGACAAGCTATATGACCTTGGAACCTACCAACTGGTAGAAGGCATAGGTCGGGGTGGACAAATACGGACCCACGGGCTGGATCTAGTCTGCCAGGGTTAGTCCCTGGAGGGCCCCTACCACTGTATTTACCTCATCTCCGCAGATACCAGCGATCACTGCTCCCATTGGCTGCCGATCACCGTTGCTGGCTAATGGGAGCTGTGCAAAGCAGTGTCCTGTTCCACACTGTTTCCGGTTGCTCCCAATGCCCAGGAATGGCGATCTGCAACCAATGAGAGCTGCGATTTCCAGAACCTGTGGAGGTGCAGGTAAATATAGTGGTGGGGCCCATAGGGACAAACTATGGTGAACTGTTGCCTTTTTATTGCCAACCTCTGGCATAGGTTGAAGCAGAGTGTTGTACAGCTAATATTTAAGATGTTATGTAGCAATGCTGCACATGTTCCTTTCAGGCAAGTGAAACAGATTTTTATCTTCCTGTCTGATCATACTCATGTTGTCCGCCTCACAACGCATGCCTATTTGCATACTGACCCTGATGCTAAAACAGAGATTAAAAAAAAAAAAAAAATCAGAAAGAGCCCAAGGAAGAAACAATCAGCAAGGAATTATCCTGTTTATGAATAAGGACAATGAGCTCTTCGGGCCTATATCTAAGGACATCAAGAGACACTGTGTTTCCTTCCCTGACGAGATAAGCTAACCATATGGTTGTCTTATAAAAAGAGGATCACAGCGAGCATGGCATTGACATGGTGAAAGGATACTGAGTGAGCAAGACATAAGAACATGCATCTGACAAAGTAGGTCTTTGCCCACGAAAGCTTATGCTCCAATACTTCAGGTGCCACATGACTCCTCGCCGCTTTTGCAGATTCAGACTAACACGGCTACCCCTCTGATACAAGACATGAGCGTATCTTGTTAATTAGGTCTAGGCTCTATAATGTGTGTTAGATTTTGAATGTAATCTTTTTGTTTCCAATACTGTCACCGGCTATTACTTTGATTTCTCCGTTTTGTTAAAATAAACCTATTCTTGATTTCAGTGTAAACACGTCGTGTGCTAAGCAGAGCAGTTATCTCAGGTGGCACTGGGAAGCAGGGGTGTCCTGTTTCTTTGGAAGCAGATCTTGAGAAGGGGCAATGGAACAAGGGCTGGAACACTTCAGAGACATGTGTGCAGGCTCTCCAGGGTTGGGATGCACCAATCGCTAACCTGCAGAGGGACAGGGAGGTCTCCGAGGCATAGAGAAGATCAC